ACTGCAGATCGCAGTGGCCCCCGAGACGAGGAAGGTAGCCAGTTAACCCCCTTGCTTCTCCTGCTCCCCTGAAAGGTCTGCCTGGAAGCTCAGGCCTGGCCCTGCCTCTCCCCACGCCGTCTGGAGTCAAAGAGCCTCGGTCCGGCTTCGTGCCAGAGAACTTTCACACCTGAGAGACACACTGGTGTGGAATGTAAGGCGTTATGTCTTTGTACTTGATGAGTATTTTTAAATAGCACCACTTCTACTTGAGTATGATGAAGCAGTCAGTAGTTTAGTCTACTTTTCCTCCAAGCATTTATACTTAATACACTAATAAACCGATATATTTCATTGCACATCAACAGTGAAGATTGGGAAACTGATACTAGTCAACTTTGTGCCATCCCTGCAGTAGGCCAAGAGAAAAAGCCTCTTGCCGGAAGACAATTTTACTATATGTTTTTCATCAGAAATTCGCTGAAAACGCTCAGTCAGTCATGAATCAATTAACCAAGAACTGTAGGTTTCATCATGTGTAGGGATGAACTGCAGTGGATGTCAAAGCAAAGCAAAACATGGTATACTCATGTTCTGTTGTTACTGGACAGATGTACATGTGATTTAGAGATCGCTGATATTCATGAGCTTCCATTTGCTAAGATCTCAAATTATGTTTAACATAGTTTGGGCTGTCTAAGTCATATAGCAGCATTAGCTATCTTAAACAAAACATTATTTACAAAAAGTCTGGGAATCTAGAGACACAAGAAGAGCAAACATAACTTTGGTTATCATAATTCTAAAGATAAAAAAGAAGGCAGGCTATCCTTTCCACTTTTTTCAATCTATAAAGCTCAGCTGGGCTCTGGAAAGGGTAAAAATTACAGCAAAAAAAAGTAAAGACTAAACTTTAGGATGACCTGTATGTAGTTGCGTGGCCCATCTGCAAGTGCTTAGGGGTGACCATCATGACATCATCCTTGCCACTACAAAGCAGCTGACAAGTGGGAACTTGCAGGGAGCAAGAAAAGGTGAAAGTTCATCCGTGAGGAGAGAGGCTGACTTCAGAGGTGTATCTGAAACTCAAGCGACTTGATCTCATCCCTGGACCAGGCTCTGCGGTGGTCCTTGTGGTTAGGACAACTCGCCGGAGCTTTCCATGGGCTTTCGGAACATTCCAATATGCAGAGTGGTGGGGGGAGGCGTATTTTTAGAAAGTCCTAATATGGGCCGCATACCACAGACTCTCAAATTATCCCATCCAGCTTAGCCCTCAGTTTAAACCTTCCTTTTTAATTCCAGTAATTACAGGCTCCAATTTATACGGAGCCGTGCACACAAAGGGCCTGTTTAATGCAAACCAGTTTGATTTGGGCGAAGTGTCCCAAGGATCTCCCACATCTTACGGCCCTGTTTATGCTGACTTGATGATTTATTTTCTCCCCAAAGCGAGGTCCAAAAATGTTGCATTTTTTGCATCAGATTTCGCTTCGTGAGGCATAAAGACTTTCTCTTTCCTTCTCGCAGGCTGAGCTGAGCCCAGCTGGCAGGCCACCGTCAGGCCTGGCCTGTCAGCCCCTCGACCAGAGCCATAAATCCAAAGCGACATCATGCCTGTGACACTACTGAGAGAGAAGCCATCGCTACTGTGCGGCCTCAGCACCACCATGTACTTATCATCTACTAATCACATTTGTAGGTCATGAAACGTGGTAATGACTCTTGTCAAGTTGTGAACGTCGTCGTTTGCTGGTGGGCTGGAGGAGCTGATGGAAGCCAGCCATTCACAGGGTTTGCCGTGCTAAGGTCAGCCATGGCCGTCTTCTTCGCTCTTCAGATTCGTGGGGCTTTGAGGCCTGAGGAACCATTTTAAGCAGCTTAGAGCTTAAATACGAGCATGCTCCAATGTGTCGAACATCTCTAAGCCTCCACAGAACGTCAGGCATTTAAAGTGAGACAGGCTCATCTCGGTTGCTTCCGCACTACTCACAGGGAGATGAATGGAGAGAGGGGGGGAGAGAGACAGAGAGGGAGAGAATGCGGCCATGCCTCGAAAATAATCTGGAAATATAGCGGCAGGACCCCTTGAGCGTCTTTTAAAGATTAAATACCAATTCCGAACATACCAACTGAATCGGAATGGTAATTTACATGGCCAGGTGCTGAAGGTAAGCTTAACCTGGTTCTCGAGGTCTTAAATCCTGCCTGGAGCTAGATGAAGCCCTGTCTCTCTTCCCCCACAGGCCAGTCATGTGGCTTGTGCTACATATTTGAGTTGTTGTGGTATTTGTAAATATCCTGACTGCATGTCCAGGCTTGAACGGGGGGGGGAGACAGTTAGGGAGCTTCACCTGCAGGCCCTGAGGAGGCTGCGAATAGGCCCTGCCCTTGACCGGCAATGCGTCCACTTTCACGGCACTGCCGCTGACCATTACCTCCCCCCCGGGCCAGGATTACGGTCGACATGGGAGCCCCATCTCACACCTTCCCCTTTAATGGAGTGTTGAGAAACGATTTCTCTCCGTTAGCACACTGAACACTCCTGGGGTGTAAAGAGCTCGTAGACAGGAAGCTTGCAATAAAGCCATCAGCGGACTGGAAGGAACCCATTCATAAAAACGCAGAGGCCCACAGTTCTTTGACGAAGCGCTGGATGTTATTCTAAATTGTTCTGTTTTACCGCAGCTTTCTAATGTGATTAAAGCGCACCGTAAAAGACTGCCCGTTTTTCAGCCCATCCTTTACGAAGCCCTTTGCCAAAAGTAGTTCTGGCGCAGGGACGAGAAGGAACAAGAGCTATGCTCTTGTAAACGTTCCTTGAATAAAACCCAATAATATATATTGTTTGTTTTCATCCATTAACTTTCCAAGAGCATAACACTTGAAAATGGAGTGGAGTCTTTGTGTAAATAAAGGCAGAGTAAGCAGGGAGAGGGGGCAGAGTGCACAGTGCTCTGTTCGGGGGAGGGATTGTCTGAGAATGCGTGTGTGTAAATATATGAGTCTGTACGTGAATGTGTGCGAAGTACGGGAGCCAGTAAGAGTGTGTTTATGTGTGGGAGAAAGAGTAGAGGAAGAGCGAGAGGAAGAGATGGTGGGAGATATTTAGAGAGAAAGAGAGAGAGAATGAAGGAGAGGAGTCCCCGTGTGCTGCCATGCCAGTTTGGGTTAACCATGGCGTGAGCCTGGGCTGTAGACACACAGGATAGGTGCCTAAGTGGATTCAGGCCTGTTAGATTTATAGCCATTTGTTCAGAGAGTGTTCATCCATTGGCTATTATGGAATGATTAGAGGAGAAGGTGAAGCTCCAAGTCCGGCGAAAATCAATACGGCTGTCGAGAACGATTCTGCCTTTACCGCTCTAAGGAGTATTAGGACCAAACCTCTCTCTCTCTCTCTCCTCTCTCTCACTTCACACTTCTTCATCCTCTCTTCCAGCAATTTCACCCTCCACCCTCCTTCCCACCTTGCTGACCTGCCATGTCCCGCTTGCTTCTAACTGCTCCTGCCTCTTCTTTCGCCACTGTCTCAACATTAGGCTTCCTAACACAGCCCAGGCTCATCACTCATAGCCCGGGAGTTCAGCTAGGAGTAGATCCACTAGGACTGAATATTGCCAAGTAGCACATGATACGACACAATCTGCACATCATGATATATTTTATATTGTTGCTGTTGTATTAAAACCTTGTATCTCCAACATTGTTTCTTAACGTCAATGTATTTTGATGTAATGATAATATCTTCTAAGTTATGTTAGACCATTTTTTGGTCCATTTGTCATGTAATTTCAAACATATAAGGGTTTTCCCTGCCAAAAAAGGAGTTATACATTACAGTTTTTTTGCATAAGCAACAATAAATTATGAATAATCACAAAGGTAAATGCTCCTATCTCTGCTAGTTGTATCTTTGAAATCACAAATGTGTAGCAAACGGCAAGCTGGATTTAGAAGTTATAGAAGAGGGCGCACAAGATTTACTGGGCTTTTCATAGTTACTGCCATATATCGGCATTGGTTTATTGATTTAACTATTAAAATGGGTAGGAATATGCAGATAAATAAATAAATATCAACACATGGGGAATATAAAATGGAAACAAAAATGATAAAACACAAGTATCATAAAAACGTTATTTGTTGTCAGGAGATTAAAAGTTTGACAACAGACGATGTCACAGCCATCTGCTGGCTCGGAGATAAAGGCCTTATCCACACATGTCCGGATAATTATAAAAACATATTTCTTCTCTCCATTTTCGACAAAATCTTCAATCTTCAACACAAAACTGACTCAAAACACTTGCAAGAGTATGCCAGCCCAATAGGGGAGATAATACCTCCTTCAACATGACATCATGCACACTGTGCAAAATACAGAGTTTGCGCTGCAAAGGTTCAGCAGAGATTTTTTAACAACTTGATGGTGTTACAAATACAATACACTTTGACTTGTAAGCCATCAGACCTCTGCAATTCAATATTTCCCACAGATTAAACATCCGATTTTTGCTTGAAATGAAAAGCTTTAAAAGCAAAAACATACCGCTTGCAATGGGCTTATGGTGTGATGGCTGTGCCACTTTGCACACAGTTTTGATCAGGCAGTGTAGCTGTGTTTTTCTAGTTTTTCACCCAATTTGAATTATGGTGGTGGGATTTTTTTCAGATTTGACCTTCTGATGCCTCATTTGAATTATAATGCATAAACTGCTTAGCACACATAAACAACCTAGTCGTCATATTTCAGACAGAGTTCTGCACGATCAATAAATGCACAGTTAGCAGTGTAATGTACAAGGAGAAAAAAATGTTTAAAGAAAATTTGTATACGTGTGAACAGGGCCTAATAGTTCCTAAGTGATGGGGTAGACCTAACTAGTGGGTGGGTATTAGTACAGCTCTAAGGTCCACGGTTGAGTGGAGGATGGAGCAACTCTGCTAAAGACAATGGAGGGTGGCATAATGTAGTTATATCCTACATTGACTGCATTCGTCCCAGGATGATCGCTCACCTTGTAAAGTTTGAGGCTGGCCTCGTGACGCGAGTTGACGGTGTGCATGCGCAGCTTCTCCAGGCTATTGGTGTAGTAGTCACAGGCATTGCACTTGAGGTGCACCGGGTTGCCGATGGCCACGCACTTGAGGCGCCACTCGTTGCCCTTCCCACCCTCCTTGATGTGGGCCACCAGCTGGTACTTCTGCACATGCTTATCGGTCTTGCAGTGCAGCTGGAAGTTGGCCTTCAGCTGTGTGGTGTAGCAGCACAGCTTGCACTGATGTGAGTCGCCCACAACTGCCTTCCACTCGTCCTCAGGCAGTGAGCGCTCGGCCCCCATGTGCAGGCCCAGCACATCCAAGTTGTCAGTGGTGAAGCGGTTGCACACAGCACACTGGAAGAGCTTGAGTGAAGGGTCACTGGTCTGCGACAGGCTCTCACCTAGGGTCATCAGCTCCTCGGACACCAGCTGCCCTCCACCCAGACGCACATCCATTGGGATGTCCCCACCTACTGAAGGGCAGAGGACACACATAGCGCATTTGTTTTTTTTTCACACAAGACATAAGATCATATACATCATCTTCACTTTCAACACAGACTTTTGTGACACATGCAAACAACGTCAAAAACGGGCTTGGTTCAAATTCGGAGCTTCCTTGTTTGCAATACTATGCCTGGAAGGAATAAGGAATGTCCTGGGAAAAGGAAAAAGGTGCACGGTTCAGCTGTTCAACTGAGTCATGTTTGTCTACATCATCAAAATGGATTTGCTTGGCAGCTCCTTGGAGGATAATGTGGATGTGTATATTTACATACCTAATTTTATTAAACCTAGATCATGCTTTCCTTGTCTGAGAGAAGGCGACAGAAATAAAGTGAGAGAGAGACTGGCAACTCTGACAGGGAGTTATGGATTTACAAGTAGCCCTGTTTGGACTTCAACACTTCCACAGCTCGTCTCTAAATCAACTTCACAGGCCGTGAACTCCACAGCAAAAAGAAAGTTATTCTATAATTACAAGAGAACTAAAGGGATCCCAGGCCCATGATACCGTAAATCAACTCTAGCCTCCTTATTCATAGAACCATGATATAAAACATTCCCGTTCCCCCTTCTTTTCCTGCTCTTTTACCCTGGCATGCCAGTCAAATCAATAAGGACATCTGTTGGATGAGCCCGACTAGATGTGCAGAACAAGAGAAACTGACTAGAGATGTGGAGAAATATTCAACAACAGGGCAACAAACATGACAAAGCATCCAAAAGCGGTAAGGGAGGAAAAAAGAAAAAGGAGGAGGCAGGAGCAGGAGTTTTTGCCTTTGCTCACTGATCTTTAATCTATCACTGCCTAGACTGAGCGCACTGGCTGACCCCGTCTGGCTTTACACTAAATTAATTCCAGCAGCCTCTTTTTTATTTATTGCTGTAGAATGCAGCCTTTCTCAGACTTTTCTCCATTACCTGCGCTATTATAGCAGGGAGAGGGAGACCTCTGTGAAGCCCCCTGAAATCATTCACAGATTCACTGCTCAGAGTAAAGAACTCTCTCTTATTCGCCTCTGTTTTATCGATACCTCTCTTACCTTTCCTGGTCTTCTCCCACTCTCTAGGTAACCTGCTTCATCCACGCCAACTTATAACCCCACTACATCTCTGCATTCGTGTTCACAAACGCAGGCACTTCCTCTCTAAACATCTAATTTATACACCCTTTGGGCAATAAATCCCACATGCAATTCATATAGGAAGTTATATGGCTATAAATCTGTACAATATTTTGACTGCAGTCGTGTCAGACCGTATCAGCTCGTTGGGCCAAAGCGAGTGAGAGAGCTCTGGAAAGAGTTTCATTTTCCAATAACACGACTTTGAGCTAAACAGATCTACGAGAGCTTTTGGAAAACTGGTTTATGCAACAAAAGCTTCCAAGATCGTAATTTCATTAGATGTTTTTTCATGGGCTGGCAGAACAGTGTTCTGATAAGGAGTCTGTTGGAAAAGCTAAACAAATTCGTATGTAAGGCGTCGACTAAAGGCACCGACTCTCTCTTAGCTTAGGTTTAGAGGATAAAGGCTACAAAAAGAGAAGGGGTGCGGCTAAGTGAGACAGTAGGATCATGTCATGATTTGGCATCTCTCTTTGACCAATACAAAAAAGAGAAGAGACAGAATACAAAAGATTGAAAACTAGTTTTCGGCTCCAGTAGAAAACAGCCTATCAGGAAGCGCCTGTTTAAAAAGTTTGTCTTTTTGTCTGGGTGATAAAGTTCTACTTATGTGAATGTAAATAATACAAGTTGTTTTCAGATACAGGTTAACGCCTGTTAACGAAAATCTGCCAGATGGCAGGAAGAAACAGACGGGGGAAAAGAAAAAATTAGCCGCAGTCATCAATTGTTGTTCATATCTTTGAACTGGTGACAGTCACAGACAAGCCTGTGCAAACAGTGGGGTTATAGCTGGCATGCTAAAGCCTATGTTCTGCTTCTGCATTGCCCTCCCTGGGTCCTTTTTTTTTCCTCTTTTTGACCAAGATAAAATGTACAGCAGCAAGTTGAGGAAAAAATGAGGTGACTTGGGTTGGCGAGGGCTGTGCTAGCTGGGGAATAAAGACACAAAAAGCTGATGGACAGAGGAAGTTGGAAGACAAAAGCTGCATGAAGCACTCTGGTTCACACACATTTTTTAGCGTGCATGTATGACGGGGGTGACAAGTGGGGAATTTTCCAGACAAAATGACCCAAATAGACTGAGACATAGTGGATGCTGAAAGAAAGCAGAGGCTCATATGTTAGGAAGATGGGTCTTTTTTCCTTTTTTACTCATTTTGTGCACGTCTTTGTGTGGGATCTTAGGGCTCACAGAGAAACAGTACGCACTCCCAACACACTCCAACCCAGAACAAACACTTTTTTAGTCAATCTGGTGTATATCCCACCTTTTAACTGTTTATTCAGCCTCCACACAAACCTACACCACAGCTTCTCAAGCTCTGCAAGTTACAGGCTATCCTCGACCACTGAGTTATGGGGACATCCTGTTCTATCAGGAAAGAAACCTAGTGAAGGGTTTCCTTCTTCGCTTGCATCATATACTGCATCAATTCAGTCACATGTCATCTACACAGTGTAAAAATAGCCTTTTAAAGCAATGCACAGCAAGTCTCTCATTTTCAAGGTAGCAGGCTTTCAGAGACAAGAAGTATGCCAACTGCATAAAATAGCATAGAATTTATTTTATTTTAGGTTGAGTGGTCCTTATCATACTGTGTACCATCATGTACCACCATTCAAGTATCTTTCAGTCAAGCCTCTTTTTTCACTCTTATGCTTTTCTCTCACACAACTTCTATAGCTACTTACAGAGGAAAACATGGACACATAAAAGGCTAGTGTACTCTGTGGTAAAATCCTATTGTAAAAGTAAATTTACAGAAAGTCTTTCAACTGAACTATTTTTCCATTAAAGTACTCATTAAAGATTCTGTGAATAAATGGAGGAGAGCTGAGTTTCTCTACGAAGGTAGCCCGCAAACTGTCTCCGTCAACTCACCTAGTGCTGGAGCTAGGGCAGCTATATTTGGGTCCAGATGGAATCCTCCAAGCAGAAACTGGGCATCGGTTCCAGAAGGATCCAACTTTAGGCCTGGGGGGAGGCTCATGTTCTGGGTCAAGTAGTACTGGTAAAGCTCTGCTTCTGAGGGCGAGGGCATAGCCCCCAGACCCAGGCGGCCGTGTTGCATCTGGGTCACATTCTGCTGGAGCAGCATCATGTTGTGCATGTGTTTCTCGCTGGTCATGTGGATGCGCAGGTTGCGAGCCACATTCGTTTCATAGTCACACACCTCGCAGCGCCAAGTGGGCTTGCTCTTGGGCTTGGTGGGCGAGGGGGCACCACAGGGCCCTGCCATGTGGGTGGAGGACTGGGCCGGGTGATGGTGGTGGCTGGTGTGGTGACTGCTGGCCTGAGTGGCTGAGGGTACGGCCACCACACCACCAGGCGCGTGACCAAAAACTTGCTCGCTGGCCGTGGGGATGGAGCCTCCGTTCTGCAGCGTCTGCATGTTGTTGAGGTGCTTGTCTGACTGCATGTGAATGCTCAGGTTGCCCTTGGTAGTAGTGGAGTAGTTGCAGACCTCACAGCGGAAGGGCTTGTAGCCACAGGTGTAGCTCTCGCCACGCGCCAGGCGCGGGTGGCTCTGCCCGCTGCTGCAGTACACACAGGAGCTCCCAGAGTCTGGATGCTTCTCCTTCATGTGTGCCTCCAGGGTCTGCTGGTACTTGTAGTGCCAGTTGCACTTGGGACACTTGAGCGTCTTGCATGAGTTGCGCGAGTGCATCATGGTCATGTGGCCCCCCAGGGAACGTGACGAGCCCAAGACCGTGTCACACTTGGGGCACTCGACCCCGCTGCCTCCACTGGCCCCTACACCGTGGTTCTGGGTGCACTCGCCCACCCCAGTCATGTCGCAGGACCCTGTGTGATGGGAGTGGGAGTGAGGCGAGGGGTGTGGATGGTGGTGATGATGGTGGAGGTGGTGGTGGTGGTGCAGGAGGGTACCGTTGTCCTCGTCTCCCTCTGCCGGGCATTCATTTGGTTCAGGAGCTGTGGCACTATCACGATTGGCACTTTCGTCAGCGGCGGCATTGGAGGCGAGAGGGGAGGAGGTCCCCGCCCCGTCATCCTCGCCCCCTCTGCTGGCAGCTGCCGCCATCGCCATGGGGACAGTGGGCCCCTGGCAGTTAAAGCTCAGAGGGAGCTCCGAAGTCCTCCCTCCACCATCTGCAGCCATCCCCTCTTCTGATCCCCTGATGGAGGAAGAGGACATGGAAGCTGGGGCTTTGCTGTTCAGCGTGGGGCTGGCTGCAGAGGGACAGGCAGAAGGCTGGAGAGCGCTACTAGGCATTAATAAAGGAGATTTGGAAATGCTTTGGTTTGAGACAGCCGGTTCCCCTACTTGTCCGCCGCTGCTGCTACTACTGCCACCACAGGCCACCGTAGTGCCTTCATCCTCCACCTCGTCCTCCTCTTCTTCTAAGAGAAGGTCCTCCTCTTCCTCTGAGGCCAACTCCTCGCCGTGAAGGAGAGCCTTGCTTTCACGGGCCTCCACATCCCCATCCTCCCCTCTATGAGTCCCTTCTTTCCCCACAGGCCCCTCTGTTCTCCCTCCCTGCGCCTTGGGCAGGGTGCTGGAGTCTTTGGCAGGGCCTGGGGTTGAGGTAAGAGAGGGCGGCTTGGGACTACCAAGGCCTCCCAGGGCGAGGAGGGCTTGCTGCTGGAGACCCGAATCAGAGTCTTTGTTGAGGAGGCCCTCACCTCCTCCACTACTGCTCCCCCCCTCTAAATGAACCCCACTGAATGTGCCATAGAAGCTCTGGCCTGAGTTCATGGGCACTAGTGTGGGTGGTGGGGGAGAGCTTTTGTTTTTTGGTTCCAGGAAGCTAATGAGGGGCTCTTTGTCCTTGCCGATGCCCTGGATGATGGCCGACGCGTGCTTGTGGCCCAACAGCCGGCGCTCATCCTCACACAGGGTCATGCGATGGTCATGGACGGCGTGAGTGGCAAAGGAACGAGCATAACCAAAGGATAGCTTGCAGAGAAAACACATGAGGATGGGCTTGCCTTTACCATAAAGGGCCAGTCCATCAAATTTGGAGAAATCCACATTGTTGGGAACATCTTTGGATACACAAGACTTCTTGGCAGACCCGTCGCTGTTTAGGTAATCCTTGTTGCTTTTGTGCCGCACATCGAATACGCGGAAACTGTGCAGGACAGGACTGAGGCCTGCCGGGGATGAGGTATTGGGGAAACCTTGGTCTGAGGGGCCGAAACCACTTCCCAAAAGACGAGGCTATGTGGAACGTGTTGATGATCTGAGGGTACACTGACGAGGAGGTCCCGGAAGGTTCCCCAGGCTTAACCCCACTGGGGAGAGAATTTGAGGGGAGCAAACCAGGTGCCATGCCCCCATCACTTTGGATCAGCTGGCTGAGGCTTTCCACAATGTAGGCCGAGCCATCAGGTTGGTAAACTATCTCCCCAGCTAGGTTCTCCACGTCGCTGCTCTCTTCTTCCTCCTCCTCCTCTCCTTCTTCACTCCCACTCTCTGTAGCATCCCTCCGCCGTGTAGGCTGCTGGCGCATGAGAGTGGGCATGCCCCCTCCTACTTGAGCCATGGGCATGCCTGGGAAGGGCTGCAGACTCGGAAAACAGCTGTCAATCTCCATCTCGTCCAAGTCCTCCAAATCCTCGTCCTCCTCTCCACAGCTCAATGCCTCCTGCTCCTCTTCCTCCAAGCCCTCTCTTCTGGGGTGCCGCTGGCCGCTGGCAGAGCTGTTGTTGGGAGCCTGGGGTGGGGTCCGTGTTTGCTGCTGCTGTTTCTGCTGCTGCTGCTGCTCTCTCACGGCCTCACGAGGCGTGCTGGGATTCTGGAGCTGGGCTGGGTAGGGTACAGAGAGAGACAAGGGCTCCAGGGAAGTGGGTTGGTTGCTGGGAGTGACCTGTGCACTAGGGTGATCGTTCCAGGGCTGAGGAGGGTGCTGCTGCTGCTGGGAGGTGGTGGAGGAGCTGAGCCCATCGTCTGTCCCAGAAACCACGGGAGACTCACAGCTTTCCATGCTGATGCCTACATGAGGCGTTCATCGCATCCAGGCCTGAGGGATACCAAAAGAAAAAAAGAGAAATGGATAAGGTCAGAGAATTGCTGATAGCTAGCAAAATTTCAGCAGCATTAGAGGGACAGCACAAAAGACAAGGTTCTTTTCATGCTTTCGTTACATTGTTCCTATTCATGCTAAATCCCAGGCCTCTAATGCTAAACATTCAGTGAGAGGCACAAAGAGTCTTGATAAACTGAAAAAGCATGTATGGATAGAGAGCTGTGAGCAGGCCTGATGTATAGTACATTAGAAGAGAGACAAAAGTGCAAGATCTAATGGTAGAAAATGACAGAGTACTCATTAGGTTAGATTAGGTACTTAAACACAATACCTCAGACATGCATTAATAAGCCAGCTCAGATTGCTCTTCCTGTCATATCAGTGAGTTACCATCTTTTATCTTCACCTTCCAAACAACACTCAGAGCCTACCATGTTCCGAATTCCCGCATACATCCGTTTTTAATTAACGCGCAGTCTGAGAAACAGTAACAGAATAACTTAATGGATAAAGAAGCTCCATTGTGCCGCTAATTAGACACAGTGAAACCAGCCATCAGCACATGATCCATCTCCCACACCCAGAGAGAGCGAGCTGAAGGTTGCTGAATATATCAGCCAGACTGTTTTAGGACCTCCACATCAGAGAAAGTATTCATGCAAAAACACACAGCAAGAAAGAACGACCTTGTCAGATCCTCTCGCATGGACGGTATATGCGTGTTTCCGGTAATTATTTGTATGCCAGTCTGTATACACAACATACAGAAAGATGAAAAAAATGAAAGGTGGGTAGCGGTGGTGGTGGCAATAAATCTGAAAGTTAAAATACACCAGCTGGGCTGAAACTCCAAATGCAGCTGTGTTTAGATCTGGCATGCAATAAGCTCCACGCTCGGTCTGGTTTCAAACACTCCAGCAATCCACCACCTCTCCCATAACAAATAGGAGCGGCACTTTCAGGGGGCTAGTGCTGCCCGGAGCGCCGGAGAACCCTAGTACAGGCCACAGTTTCGAGCAGGCTGAAGAGATAAAATGATAGCGAGAGATACTGCTGAGCTAATAATTTTATTAAAGGGATGCAGGCAGCATTGATTAAAGGGGCGACCAGGCTGAAACCAATAACTCTGGCCTGCCCTTTCACCCTCCCATGCTGAATATTACATGAGCAAACTTTCCCGGCAGCGCGCTAACCGCCATGTCCTGCCTGATTAGCACATTCGCTGCCTGCACTTGATTTATTTACTTATTTACTTAGGGATGCAAATTTCAGCACTGATCAGACACTGTGTCTGCAGCCCCCCAACCCCCAAACATATTAACAGGAGAGGGTTTGGCTGGGGAGATTGATAATGTCTGACTCCCTCTTCATGAATGTCTGATGAAAATATACTCCAACCCCCACAGCCCCCCTCTTTCATCCACCACTGCCCTTCAACCCCCACTGCAAAAGTCATATACACAGGCCTTATATACTGAGTGTGATTTTTAACAAATGCAGTCTTTGTTTTTACCCCAGTAAAAGTTGCTTAGAATATTTTTATTCAGGCAATTTTACATGCATTTCCATATATTTAATTTTGCAATTAAATAAATTATGCACATTTTTTCTAATTGAATGAATACAGTGAAAATGTGATTGCTGTGGCTGCAGTAAATAACATCTGTGGCACAAAGTAAATAGCAAATAAAACTGTTTTGAATATGTCCAGGGACAAGCATTTCAGTTATCTTACAGAATAGCCTTTTTACAAAGCAACCTTTAAATATTTTAAATTTAGAAATTACGACCAGTGACAGTGGCCCTGAAAAATAGCCAAAGCACCTTTTCCAGTGGTCTTTCCTTAACATGCCTGCTGCATTCCTCTTTATCTGTTGTGCATTTTCTTCTGCACAGAGTCCAGACCATTCTAACGAGCAAAGCAGCCTAAATCTAAACACCTCCACACAGACCAGCTCCTCATCTAACATGGTCCAACCTGAAGATCTGCCACGATGTGCATTTCATTAAAAGCGCCAAGCATTTTAGATGACTTCCGGTGCAGAGCCGGACACTGATCCAAAGGGCCCAGGTCGTCTGGCTACTTGCACCGCTTACAGAAAACAGGATTGGGCTTTAAAATGGAGAAGGTCTAATTCAATAACCTGGGGTGGTTACTGATGTGCAATAGGATTGTCTGGAGTCTGCCAGTCGCAGATGGGCGGGCAGATATAATGCTGTTTGTCCGCTGGAGGTCTGCTTCCTCAGCGACACCTGTTTAAAGCAGGGGAAGCTTTAATCTCTGCCCAGCACTAACGAGGGCCCAGACAGACATGCAGACACTCTTAAGCAGGGGAAGTGCACGCATATTAGTCTCTCTGCTCGCACTGTACAGTAGCAATCGACCGAGAATCATAAACCATGAATTACAGTAATGCCTGAGCGTGCACGTTGCCATGCCTTTGCACTATGATTAGTCACTCTGTGGATGGTACAATGCCCGAAAAAAAAGCCTGTCTTCCAGAACTGAAGAAGACAGCTTTTTTTTTCCTTCCAAGAGTAATGATAGGACAAATGCTTCAGACTGTGAAAAGATAGGTCAATGTAAAAGGCAGCCAAAACAAGTTTGAACTCATATTAAGTGATATATTAAGTGATAATCAAGCAGAAGAAAAGAACCAAATTCCTGAGCTCTGTTAGTGGGTAGGGTGATATGTTCAGGGAGGCTTCCTCTCTGATAAGAAGGAGCATAGCAACCTTGCTCTCAGGGGATCAAAACAGGCTATGTTTCAGACAATATACTGGGCCAGGAACACTTTTAGTCAAATTCAGTTAAAACCTGAAGCTGCAGACTGGTGTCTGTGGTGTCTGCGAGCTCATTCCAGTTATCAGTTTCAGTGTCTGGGCACTAAAAGTCTCTCAAGTCTCATCTTCTCAGCAGGAGCCATAAGAGACTGAAGTCCTCTGATGTAAGGTGCATGCCTCGTTTCTCTACTTGCATTAGCAGAGAAGCATTTCCTCCTCCTCTTTCTAGCCTAACAAAGCAGATAAGGCTTTCGCTTTCAAAAAAAAAAAAAAAAATTGCCCAGTATCTAATGAACGCTGTCAGAGAGTGGGGTCTGGTTGTCATTTGGGGAGGATGGAAAATGAGATAAAGTTTTTATTTATGGGATCTTTCATTAGGTGGGATTTACCGGCTGAGCAAAATGGGAATTAATGGCTGAGAAGCCATCTGATTAGAAGCATGCACATTCACCTGCCTGGGGGCCAAGCCTCCAGAGGCCCGGCACCCTCCACACTCTCATGGGGAATTAACTCGCGCTCAGCCCCAGCTGGGAACGCCCAGAGGGTAACAGCCCTGATCCCACACCCAACCCTCAGGACCTTTTTTTCTGTTCTGACGGCATGCTCCACCATCTTTTGTCCCAGCACCGCCCCCCCCAAAGCAAAAAAGGCCCCAGCACTACCTTCCAGCAATCTCTGGCAGGGCCTCCTCTCCCCGCGCCTGCCAGATCTAGCCATCACAGAGCCTGGCCACCGCAGGGTTAGGGCGCTTATTGAAAAATCAATGGCGTAAATGCTAAGCAAGTTACCGGAAGATGTGGGAAGGAAGGGCTCCTATTGATAAAGCAGGCAGGGCCTTTGATGCTGCACTGGGGACGTGTTCATTGATAGAGCGAGCATTGTACTCCTCGGGCTGCAGCACGGAGGGCTTCGACGGCTAAGCTCGGTCCAATTAATCACACATATATGTAGAGAGACGGCTTCCCCTCCTTAACCTTAAGTCCGTTCTAATACTCGACAAGGCCTCTCGCCTGCCCTAATCCTTGCTTCTTACCCGGATGCTGACGCGTCATGTTCAGGGCCTTTGCACTGAGGGTGGTGTAATGAGCATGGCTCATCCAGCTTCATACGTAAGACCTTACTATGTTCCTCAAGGGGGGGACCATCCTGGCTGTCGGCGCAGCCCTGGACCACACACTTCCGTCTGAAGCCATACTTCTCCCTGTATACCCTTAATGACCATGTCTCTTGTGTAATCTTAAATCTACTCATTTTTTTAGGAATGAGCTCAAAATAGCTTAATTGCCAAATGATTAATAATTGCTTCAGTGGCTACAAGAGAACATGGCAACACTTCTATAATTCAGCTGCGCTGTGGCAATCTAGCATTTTTACGCAGTAAAATCCATTCAATATCGAGTTCATTAATATGAGAGGTAAACAGAGTAGACTGAACTTTTCCTCCTCCTCCTCCTGAGTGTTTAATGTAGACACAGGGACGCTTCAGTGCTGCCGCCGCTTCAGGAGGAAAAAAAGTCACCTCAGGTCGATGGCACTCAGGCTGTAAACACGGCTTCCCGTAAAATCAATGATCTTCAGTTCTAGCTATCAGTCTGAGCTACAGAAATAGCAGCGGCTGTGACGAGGCCGGGGCCGGGGCAGGAGAGAGAGTGAGGGAGAAAGGGGGGGGGTCAGTGTATTGTGCCTTGGAGTACATAAGAGGAGAGATAGCACAGCTATCTGTAGCGTCCTGCTGCTACCACTGCCGTCACGTCACTAACCTTGCACTCAGCATTTTATTACTGTAAAGCTGTGCTGGACTACATTTCCCATGGTGCACCTGTCTCGGCCTCGGTTTCTTAGAGCCAGCATCACCAGATTGTCATGGTGTAAACACAGCAGGCCGCGTCTACTTTGGGACTGTTTTATAGATTTTGTTTGTTGTGGAAATGAGTTAATCCTCTGCAACTTTTCTACAACCGTAAACATCTGCAAGCTCATCTGTTACTAATTGCTTTCAGGCCAGAAAACAGACGAATTGATTCACTGGTATCAATAGCTTTGTTTCTCTTCTAGGACATGAAACAGAATCATGGCGATTTTTGCGGTGATATTATAAGACCTGTAAATGCAATCAATGTAGCAAAACAAAGGACGTGGTGGGAGCAGGGGGGGCACATTAAAATGCTTCCACAGCAGTGTAGATCACTGATGCTGCATTAGCTCCTTGC